AGGGCTGGGGACAGAGTGGCTGGAGAGCAGCCAGGCAGGAAGGGAGCTGGGAGTGTGGAGGGACAGGAAGCTGAACATGAGCCAGAGTGTGCCCAGAGGGCCAAGAGGGCCAAGGGATCGTGGCCTGGCTCAGGCAGAGTGTGGCAGCAGGAGCAGGGAAGGGATTCTTGGCCTGCACTCAGCGCTGGGGAGGCCACCCCTGGAGTGCTGTGTCCAGCTCTGGCCCCTCAGGTCAGGAGGACATGGAGGGGCTGGGGCAGGTGCAGAGAACAGCAAGGAGGCTGGGGAAGGGACTGGAGCACAAGTGCTGTGAGGAGAGGCTGAGGGAGCTGGGGTTGTTGAGCCTGGAGAAGAGGAGGCTCAGGGGAGACCTCAGCACTGTCCTCGCCCTACAGGACACTCCCCTAGAAATCCTTGTGGGGGCCTTTTGTGTCTATTGCTGGTTGCTGCTTCATCCTGGGGACGTGAGAGCCCCTCTGCAATCCCATCCCTGGGGCACAATCTGCTCTCCAGAGCTCGACTGACTCCCTGCAGACTTTGCTGGGCAATCTGTGCTTGCAGCTGCATCCTGAGCCCGAGGTCAGTTTGTATCCCCGAGTGCTGATCCAGCCTGGGGACCCAGGGGATCCTGTGCCATTCCATCCGTGCAGCAGGAGTCACCCTGCTGCCCTGGAGTCCCTGCAGAGGAACAAGTGCCATCTCTGTGTTTGGGAGCTGCCGAGGGTGGAGGGCGAGGCGGGCGATGGCAGAGCTGGGGGACCCCCGGCAGGCTGGAGGGGGGAGCACGGAGAGGGAGGAGCCCCGGGACCCCCAGGAGCCTGAAACGGGGGGAGTGGAGAAGGGGAAGCCTGGAGAGTGGGGACCCCTGGGATTCCTGGGACAACAAGATGGAGAACCTGGAGAGGGGGAATGTGTGGGAAGGCGGCACCCCAAAGATGAGAGTCAGAGGAGAAGGGACCCTTGGGACCCCCAACACTCCCAACATCCCTAAGTGGGACCCCCAGCATCCCAGACAGGGGAGACCCTTCGAACCCCAGAGGGGAGAGACCAGAGAGGGGGAACACCTGGAAGAGGTTTTTTGTGCTAATCCTGATATTTTGGACTATTTTTAGCTGAATCTCAACTTTTTGTACTTTGAGGTCTTCTTGCTTTTTCTAAAGGGTTTTTTTTGCATGAATGTTGGTGGTTTGGGTTTTTCTGGGCTGAATCTTGGTGTTTTGGAGGTTTTTATGGTCACAGGATGCCCGGTGAGCTCTAGAGATGGACTTGGGCAGGAGGAACCCCCAAGCCAACGCGCTCAGCCCTTTTTTCCCCCCAGCAGGATTTGTCCTTCCCAAAGCTTGGGCAGATGGAGGAGGAGGCTGCGAGGAAGATGCCGCGGGCCCCTCAGGCAGGTGAGGAGGAAGTCAGTGCCCCTTTGACTCTGTCTTGTGGTGCCTGTGGCAGCCGAGCATCGCCCTCGGCTGCAGGACAACCGCGCTGGTGCCACCGTCCTGCCGGGGCTGGATCTGGGGGATGTGCTTGGCCTTCCCTCTGGGCCAGAGGCAAATCCCCTGCCTGTCCTTCTTCCTTCCTGCCCCAGGCCCCGAGCTGAGGACGGAGAGCACGGAGGACAAATCCCCCCGGCAGAGCCTGGTGGGAGAGGCCGTTTTGAAGGGCTCCCCGGCGCAGGAAGGCAGCGGGGAGGAAAAGGGCCGGAGATACCCCCGGAGGAGGGGCTGCAAAGCCAGCCCAGGGAGCTGTGAGGAGGAAAGACCCGGCCTGTGCCGGGAAGGCAGCCGGAGCTCCGAGCTGGTGGTCCCTGAGCAGCCTCCCAGCAGGGAGAAGCCCTTCAGGTGCTTGGAATGTGGGAAGAGCTTCAGGGAGAGCTCCCACCTCCTCAGCCACCAGCACATCCACACTGGGGAACGGCCCTACACGTGTGGGGAATGTGGGAAGAGCTTCACCCAGAATTCCACCCTGATCCAACACAAGCACATTCACACTGGGGAACGACCCTACACGTGTGGGGAATGTGGGAAGAGCTTCAGGAAGAGGTCCAAGCTCCTCAGCCACCAGCACATCCACACTGGGGAACGGCCCTACACGTGTGGGGAATGTGGGCAGAGCTTCAGGCAGAGCTACACCCTGATCCAACACCAGCACATCCACACCAAGGAACGGCCCTACACATGCGGGGAATGTGGGAAGAGCTTCAAGCAGAGACCTGCCCTGACCCAACACCAGCACATCCACACCGGGGAACGGCCCTACACATGTGGGGAATGTGGGAAGAGCTTCACCCAGAGCTCCACTCTGATGCGACACCAGCGCAGCCACACTGGGGAACGACCCTACACATGTGGGGAATGTGGGAAGGGCTTCAGGGAGAGCTCCAGGCTCATCGAACACCTGCACATCCACACTGGGGAACGGCCCTACACATGTAGGGAATGTGGGAAGGGCTTCTCCAAGAGATCCAACCTCCACAGCCACAAGCGCATCCACTCTGAGGAACGGCCCTACACGTGTGGGGAATGTGGGAAGAGCTTCAAGCAGAAACGTGCCCTGACCCAACACCAGCTTTTCCACACTAAGGAACAGCCCTACACATGTGAGGAATGTGGGAAGAAGTTTAAGACCAGCGCAAATCTCCTCAGGCATGAGCAGACACACACAGGGGAAAGGCCCTTCCGCTGCACCGACTGCGGGAAGGGCTTCACCCGGAACTCCACCCTCGTCACCCACCGGCGCATCCACACTGGGGAGAGGCCCTACAAGTGTGGGGAGTGTGGGAAGAGCTCCACCTCGAGCTCTGACTTGACCAAACACCAACGGACCCACCAGTAAGAGAAGCTCTACAAGTGCCTTGACGAAGAGCTTTGGCCGCTGCTCTCACCCCAAATGACCCCCCTGATGGTGAGGCAACCCTTGGAGTCCAGTGACTGTCAGTCCATCCCTTTCTACCAGAAAGAGCCCATCCCCTTTGCCAGGGGCAGGTTGTGCCAACAGAACCTTTCTTGGGGGGTGTGTGGAGATTCCTGCCTTGGCTGGGGACCCCCCAAGGTCACTGCTGGAGGTTGAGAGCAGA